CAGCACTGCAGTGGAAGCACCTCCTGCTCGAGGCCTGGGAAGCACAGACAGATTTACCCCAAGCACAGCTCTGACCTCATGGCACAAGTTCTCAGTTCATGGCCCAGTTCTCCAGGTACAAACTGACCCATGTGAAACATGGAGACACATTCCCAAGGAACTTCAGCAACACTTGAAGGCCAGAATAATTCCCACTGCTGCTGTGAGCAGGGCAAACCACTGGTCTGTCAAGAGCCACTGAGCTCTGCTTTCAGCCACAGATCTGGTGAGCATCACCTCACCGTGTGCACCTCTGCCTGAAGCGTGAAATACGAAAGACAAGAGAAAGGAGGAGATGTTTGCAGAGACTCAACACAGCAAGAAATTCACCAACCAGCTGTTAATGACACATATTTAAGAGCTTGCGAAAACATCTGGCACAGATTTCACATCCCATCCCAGCAGCAAAAGGATGCTCTGAAGACACGAAGTCATGACAACAAACACGAAGTGTAAGCTTACTTTGTTCTTACTTAGCATGACTTGGCAAAATAATGTTTCTGGAATTGGAGGTACACACTTCTTCCCCCTAGGGGAAGTCCTTTGAGGACTCCTTCTCAGAAGGCAGGCAGCAGCCAGCACAAGAGATCGTGCCAGGAGCACCCATCTCTCAGAGCAAGGATGGTAATTCAGACAAGTCATTTTCAGACCCACTGGTAACATGATAGACTATTATTTGAAATGGGAAATATTCCACTTCAACTGCTGCTCCAGCTATTACTACAATCTGTGAAGCTCAGGCAGCACACAGAATATTTCAAACTATTTGATAAAATACAAAGATAAAAATAAGATGCCTGGGAAAGGTTCATGCTAACACAGGCGGCCACGGGCAGATTATTTGCATCTTGCACGATACTGGGCTTCTCACCAACTGAAATGCAGACCCAAGAGGACTATGGATGAAGGCTGCTACCTCCACAAGAGCTTCTGCATTTGTCATCAAGTGCTAACGCTGGTGACTGCAAATATTCTTCCATTTTTGCCTACAGGTGCACTACCAAATTTGCTGCCACTGCTGGAACTAAGACTGAGCACAGAACACAGGAAGCACGCTCCCATGAGCCCAGCAATGCCTGCTTCAAACCCGAGCAGACAGTCAGCACATCCTACACCCCACTCACAGACACGCTTGGCCGTGCCTGATGTGCATGGATATGTGAACTTTGTGCCAATTCCAATAAATCAAGCCTGTCGTGGTGCATGTGCTCCTTCACACGGCAGACTGCCTCCACCTGAAACTTCTTGCAAGCAGCCTTCAGTTATTTCAGGTTGGAGAGATTCACACAGATGCCTCTTGCCAGAAACCATACGCTGTGTTAACGCACCTGGCCAAATACAACTGAAGTGGTTTTGCAATACTCACCCATGGCCTTATACCCCCAGCAGAGCATATGTTGCATCCTCAGTGTTTTGTCCCCAGCTTTTCAGAGCACTGCAACAGGTGTCTGCCCCCAAAATGCTCTCAGTACCTCTTCTCCACACCCCAGTACTTCCACTGCCTCTGGAGAAGGCTCTGTTAGTGGCTATTTGCAGTGCTGGCTATTTCCTCCCACCTTCCATCCCCTATGGTGCCCCACCTCTCAGATGCATTCACATCACTCATCTACCAGGCACAACAAAATGGAGCACCTGTAAAGCCAGATGATCTAAAAAAGGCCACACGTATTGGGGCCCTGGGAAAGCAGAGAGCAGGCTCTGGAGTAATGGTAACGTCCTCAGTGTCTGCAGAGACTGGAACAAGGAAACCACCCTCGGTACAGAGAGCAAAAGCAGTTTTCTAAAACAAACAAAATGCACACACACACTTCCTGGCAATTTAGTCAGCCTGCACCAACACCAGCCAACCTCAGCAGCACTGCTGTGGAAGCACCTCCTTCTCGTGGCCTGGGAAGCACAGCTCCGACCTCGTGGCACAAGGCAGTGAATGAATCCCTGGGCACTGCTCAGCCCTGCTGCCCCACGGAACTGCACTTTGCTGGTTGGCAGCTTTCATGCTCTTCTAGTGCAGTGGGCAGGATCACAGAATGGCCTGGGTTGCAAAGGAGCACAATGCTCATCCAGTTCCAACCCCCTGCTGTGTGCAGGGTCACCAACCAGCAGCCCAGGCTGCCCAGAGCCACATCCAGCCTGGCCTTGAATGCCTGCAGGGATGGGGCATCCACAGCCTCCTTGGGCAGCCTGTTCCAGTGCCTCACCACCCTCTGGTGAAAAACTTCCTCCTAATATCCAACCTAAACCTTCCCTGTCTCACTTTAAAACCATTCCCCTTGTCCTATCATTATCTACCCTCATAAACAGCCATTGTAAACTCCCTCCTGTTTATAAATGGATGATTGCACAGAACATGCTCTGCATCCTATCGCACCAAGAGGAAAACACCAACATAGAATCACGGAATCACTCAGGTTGGAAAAGACCTTAAAGGTTATCAAGTCCAACACGACCTACCCATACTACCCTAACTAACAACTCTGGGCTAAATCACGTCCCAGAAGCATAACCTTCTAGAGCACCTTCATCTCCATTAAATCGATTCCTCAGGCAGCCTCTGAGTGTTCAAATGAATTCAAAACACTCAGAAAAAGTTTCTGTGCACCCTACATGGCAGCAGCATGCAGCAGCCCGACCTCGTCTGAAGGCAGAGGCAGGGAAGCTGTCCCAGGAACACAGCAGCTCCGTGGCAGCCCTACCAACAGACTGCAAAATTCGAACATGTTTTCCTTTTAATTTCCAGACTAGCTTAAGAACAATAAAAACGAGGAGAAAAAAGAACGCTCCCGTGGGGCTGCGGCCCCGGCTTTGCCATCTGATCGAAGTCACGGCGGCGTGAAAGGCCCGAGGCGTTAAATCGATTCCCCAGGCAGCCTCCGAGCAGAGCCAGGGAGGAGCTGCGCCCACCCCAGCGCTGTGGGGCGGCCGGGAGAAGCCGGGAGGCACCTGCAGGTCGGCTGCAACCAAGCCGTCCCACCGTTCTCACCGATCGCATCGTTTTACCGGCGGATGGAGACGCGCTTTCCCCGAAACCACCTCATTTTCTGAAGTTACAGAAAAGAAACGCATCGGTTTAACGACAAAAGGTTCCCGTTGGCGGACTGGAGGCTCGCAGTGCCCACGGAGCCCGGCTCTGCCCGCGCTCTGCCCCGCGCCGCTTCTCCCCCCGCAGCTCGCGGCCACGCGCCCCGTAAAAGCACCTCACAGCCGCTCCTCAAACAAAGGGCTCGAGAGCACAGCGCTCCGTCGGACGCGGCCGGCTCTTCCCCAGGAGCTCAAGAACGCTTCACTCCGACGGCACTTTTCGCTCGGCCGGATCCGAAGCTCCGGGGACGGCGCGGCTGCGAACGACCCGAGCGCGGCCCCGTGACGGCCCGTTTATCCCAACTCTCAGCCCCAGCGCGCCGTGCCGCTCAGCCCGCGTCCCGCGCCGCGCTCCCGTGTAGCCGCCGCATCGCAGCCGCCCGCCGTGACCCCACCGGCTCGGCTCCCGACGGGGCCGGTCGCGGCGCGGCCCCCCCGCGCCGTGCCGGCTGCCCCCAGCTCCCGGCCACCAAAAGTTCCCTCGCAAACCCCACCTGGACTCGGGCGGCGCGCGGAGCTCCGGCCGCCGTGCCGCTCCTCGCGGGGCCGCCCCGCTCGGCTCGCTCAGGTCCGCGCGCACGCGGCTCGGCTCCGCTCGTTCTCCCCGACCCGCTCGCTCTTCGGTTCAAACGCACGGCGCCGCCGCCCGGCCCGGCCCGCCCTCCGGCGCAGAGCTCAGGGCAAACCCGGAGCCGCCCCGGCCCGGAGCGGAGCGCCCTCCGGCCCCGCAGCGCAGCGCCGCCCGGCGATCCAGCCCCGGTGTTGCGGCGGCCCGGAGCCCGCTCCCATTCAACCTGCTCCATTGTGCGCCCGCGGCCGCCTCCCCTCCCAGAGCTCCGCAGCGGGCAGAGCCGCCTGGCCCCGCCGCCCCCGGGCGGCACCTGCTGCGGGGAGCGCCGCCCTCGGGTAACGCGTGTCCCGAGGCGCTGCCCCGTCCGCAGCTGGGCTCCTTTGCGCTGCTCCTCAATCACGACCCACAGCGCTCCCGCGCAGCCACAGCTGTTTCCTTTCCTCGGCGGTTGTGCTTTTGTTTTTGTTTCTTCTTTTTTTTCCTTGAGGAGGAGGAGATGCTTTGGATTTGTTTTCACAGCTCAGCCTGGGCCGATAAGAGCACCAACAAACAACACCTGGTGGGATCGATGTTGTCACCGCGGCCGCTGCTACCGCACACGGCCAGCGCCATTAACAAGAGGTTCTAACCCAAAGACAGAGCCCTTCCTCTCGGTCTCAGCCTTACGGAGGACCTTGGTGGTGAATATAGCTCCCTTACAAGCAAAACACGGTCTGTGTAGAATTATCTCGTGTTTATTGCAGCAGAAGGCTGCACGCACATCGTGAGCGCTCCGTGGGCAAGAACTTCTTGTAGGTAAGGATGGATAAAAAGGACCAGCTACCTCCAGCCCTGAGAAGCACTGTGTCTGTGTGACTGAGTGCTCTGGTGTCTGAGTGCAGCCGGCTGTCAGCACCCCATGCAAGTTCCTGATGTTGCTTCTGAACACACTGATGCTGGCTGTGCTCCATCACACCTGCCTGCAGAGCCGCCCCAGGTACTCACACAGACACACAGCTGCACTGTGCTTGACAAGAAGCACACCTTGGGAGGACCCAGGAATAAGCATCCCCTGTGTGTATTCCTATCTGAGGAAAAGCTGCTTCCAGGAGCCACAGTTCTGCCCCGAAGTCAGCACAGGGTGGCAGAGCAGCCAGTCAGCGGGGCTTGGATGATGAAGCTTTTCAGACCACATCGCTGTCTTTGGTGTCTCATTGCCTAAGGAATATGCACAGAGAAAAAAATGCATGAAGTCCTTCACTCACATAATGAGGAGTGTGGGAGACAGCACACAAAGCTCAGGTGGTTGGTATATGAAAAGCCACAACGAACATAAGAAATTCAATCTTTATTCTGGAAAATTTACAAACATACACCTGGCAGACACTTCACACCACTCTGGAAAACAAAACAAGTCCTCGGTGTGCTCTGGTCCCCTTTTTCCAATTCCAGAAGGTTTATTCCATCCCATGTAGGCATTTCTAGAACCATCAGGAAAACGTCACTGCTGCTCGCAGCTGTGGGTACCCAGCAGGAACAGGACATGGCAGTTAGGATCTGAGGAACAGCTCAGCTTAACAATACTTCCATTCTTGCCCTGCCTAATATCACTACACTTCAGTCCCATACAGATTAAATTAGAAAGCACTTTGCAGTTCTTGGGTTTTCTGCTCAAGACAAGGAACCCCAAGTGCTGGCACTTGTTAGCATTAACTTACACTTTACACAAGCATGTAATACATAACTGCCCTGCTTCCAGTCAGCCTCCCATCCCATCCTTAAACTTAGTTTCTCAACCAGCTCACAAAACGTTTCAATGTCCACATGAGTTTACTGTTGCTTATATGACCTCTAATTCTTTCAGAGAAGCTTTCTTCTTTCCATATCCCCTTATTTTTCCTCAAGGCTTTCAGCTCCGCTCGAAGAAGTCTTTTGTGCAGCTCCCAGAACAGGTGAGAATCGTGCTGCAGTCCTTCTATGCTCGCAGCTCTTCCAAGCCCTTCTCTCAGGACCTCTTCATTTAAGCACACGCTGGAAAATCGGCCCTACAGAACAGCGTGGGGAATGTCACGTCCCCTTATCCCTTACAGAGAGCATGCATGCAGATGTGTGTGCTGCCTCGGAGGTACAGGCTGTACTTCTCATTGAATCTGTGCTCATGCAGAGAGAGACTTTTAACTTTCAAAGCTTTTTCACTTTTTAACTCATTTAGCTGAGTTGAGCGAAATTCAGCTGACTTTTAAAATGGTACTTGTGCAAGAGAGATGTAAGAAGGCATTGCATGGCTTGAACATTAAGCCCACCAGAACTGCCCGGTGCAGCCAGGTTGGTCCACAGATACACTCATCTCAGAATCTGATTTAAAAATACATTACTTAAGATGCATGTAAATATAAATCCAGGCTGGATGTGGCTCTGGGCAGCCTGGTCTGGTGGTTGGTGACCCTGCCTGTGGCAGGGAGGTTGAAACTAGATGAGCATGGTGGTCCTTTTCAACCCAGGCCATTCCATGATTCTATGAAATGGCATCGATAACATTCTGATGTACTGAGATAACTGCCCGATCGCAGCCAAACCCCACAGTTTTAAGTCATTCTTACCACCGCATTTACCTTATTTACTAAAACAAGGCACTCGAGTGCCAAGTGCTCCCTCCCGAGAAGCTGGAACCAGATCACTTGTAGGGGTTTCAGCTCCCTCTGAAGCCACGCCGTGCCCTCGGGGGTCAGCTCCACGCCGGCCAGTCTCACCAGCAAGAGCCCCTCGGGCTGCCCTGCGCACAGACACAGCACTCCTTTACCAAACACAGCAGACAAGTTAGCTGTCACGCTTCGCACATGGCCTCAGCTGTTGTTAATGAGTCTATTCCCACAGACATTATAACAAATAAATCAGTTCTAGGGTTTTTCCCCCTGGAATGAGAGGAGCCATGCAAACAAATGAACCACCAAAAACTTGAGTTTTGCTGCCAGAAATATATCGCAGTGCTGCTACTACTATTAAAGTGTCAGCAAGCTCTTCCTACAGAGCTCTCCTCGCTCCTTCCCATTCCTCAGTTTCCCATCTGTACAGCAGGGGAAGACCAAAGGGCAAAGCCAGACTGCAACTTCACCTCTGTCCCAGCACCCATCTCTGTACAGACACAGCACCTCGCATCCCATCGATTCACACCCACCTGTTTCCAAGAATAGGATTTAGAAACTCCTGACCTATTTCTGCGTGCATTGCATTTCTCTCCACCTACTTTTACTCACACTTTCTCTGTATTGAGGTAATGAAAGGAACGCTGATGGGAATGTGCTCGACTGACAGACCCTTCTCAGTGACACGATGCACTTTTCCTCGCAATTTCACATTCTTTTCTATAAACCCTGCAGGTATATCCAAAGCATTTGTAAACTTTGTTGTCTGTTGATAGGAAGAAGAACAAGTGTTAAAAAAAGGACAGCCACAGAGCAGCGACAGTCAAATCCAACTTCTACAAATAGTCCAACTTCTACAAATATCTGGTGAATCACAGCCGTGCTGTTAAACAGCACGAGGAACTGCTTTTTGTTACACAGCAATGAGCTGCAGACACACAGCAGCCTTCACACTCAGGAACGCTCCCCATTCTGCAGGGCATGCAGCACGAGGCACGGGCACGAAAGCTTAGAGAAAAACAGAAACAGATGGGTTTGAGCAATACATGTTGAAGTCAACTTGATTCACCAAGAAAAGAAGGGTTAGAAATGGTCCGGATGGTGCTAGACTGGGGGAGAGGAAGTGTTTGAAGACACCAGCAAAGAATAGACACAGCAACAACAAAGGCAGAGTGGAGGACAGAGGGAACAACACAGCCTTTGATAAGGGAGTAAATAGGAGAGGGACAAAAGCAGGTGTGCACCCATGCAGAGATCACAAGATGACTGAATTCGATACTACATTCTGCTCACAACAGGATTCAAAGGAGAGTTATATGATCACACAAGGAAACAAAGCTTAACAAAGCTGCAGTACAGGAACAAAGCTGCTGCTCTGTGAGAGGACAGAGGGAAAAGATGCACTGGGATGGCACAGAGCTCAGAATGAAGAATCTTAATTAACTTGCAGAGCTCTCACTGCAGGAAACCCTTTGCAGAGGACTGACACACATCATCAACACATCGATGGGAAGAACTGGTGAGGCACTGGAACAGGTTGCCCAAGGAGGCTGTGGGTGCCCCATCCCTGCAGGCATTCAAGGCCAGGCTGGATGTGGCTCTGGGCAGCCTGGGCTGCTGGTTGGTGACCTGCACACAGCAGGGGGTTGGAACTGGATGAGCACTGTGCTCCTGTGCAACCCAGGCCATTCTAGGGTTCTATAAACTGAGCTGCTTCTGCAGAGCTCCACCGCCCTGCAGTGACTGCCCTGAGCTGCTCCCCCCGACCACCTCCGTGGGACGAGGTCTCTCAGTGGTGACACAGACTGTTAGGACCTAAAGTCTAAAGAGCAGAAGTGGTTCAAATCTGGTCTTAACAGCTCTGAAAAAACCCCACCAGCCTGGTCAGTGTGGGAAGATTCAGGTTTATGCTGAGAACTGTTAGAAACGTCGTTCTGCTTGTACAGGTGTGGAAAAAGACACGAGGAACCAACTCTACGTCAACTGAAGCACAAACATGAGAGGACTTGGTCCCTGGGCCACACACACCGCTGTGCAACGGGGAGACGGAGCTGGAGAGGAGGAATCGGGGAAAACAAGACGACAATTAAAAAAATAAAATCCAGAAATAAGGTGATAGGGAATACAAGAGCAAGAACCGGCCTCGCCAGCCGGCACGCGAGCCGGGTCACGACGCACCGGAGCCGGGGGTGGGGACGGGGAAAATGGCCCCTAGCGCCGCAGCAGCGCAGGGCGGGCGGTGCCGGCAGGGGGCGCCATTCCGGCAGGAGCAGCGGCACGGGGCTCTGCGCAGCGCAGCGCAGCGGAGCTGGGGGCGGCCCTGGGGAGCCCGGCGTCGTTGTGAGGTTGGGGGGAAGTGAGGGAACGGTGGTCCCGGCGCTCCGCAGACCCGCCCTGCCGCACTCACCAGGCGCACGCTCCTGGCCAACACCAGCAGCCCGGCCACCGCCACTCCGGCACTGAGACTCTGCGGGGAGATGAGATAGAAACGATGTTCAGCCACTCCGGGCCGCACCGGCACCGGCCCCGCTCCCAGCCCCGCCGCCCCGTTACCCGCACGAGGCTGAGGTGCGCGTCCGCCCACTCGGAGAGGCGGCCCAAACCCTCGGCTGCTGCGCTGCGCCGCTCCGCCATGGCCGCCGCCCCGCCCCGCAGCGCCGCCCCCGGGCGGAGGGCGCTCCGCCTCCACGGACGCGCGTCTCCGTACCGAGCGGAGCGGTGTCGGCTTGCCTCTGCGTATGGGAACCGCGCAGAAACCTCGTTCTCAGCGAAAGCGTAACGCAGACGGACAGAGCTTCAGCCTCTGGCATCGCACGGCCTCACCGCCGCTCCGCCTCCGGCAGCTGCCGGCAGCGCCCGAAGGCTGAGCGAACACAGCGCAAACCGCCGCCCGGGTTGGAAGAGGAACAGAACGACTTCTGTCGTACTGCATACAGCCCCGATGCGGAGCTCAGTTTTGACGAGGAGTTCAGCTAATGTATCACTCCAGCAATTCCCAACGTATCTTTATTACTAGCAGGCTACGTCAGCACCTCCAGGAACAGTGCATCAAAAATGCAGAGTAGAAGTTAACTATAAAAACATCGATGGATTTGATTTCCCACATCCTGCAGTTCAGGATCATAGAATCACAGAATGCCCCGGGTTGGAAGGGGCATTCCAACTCAAGGATCACAAATCTCCAACCCCCTGCCACATGCAGGGCCACCAACCTCCACATTTCATAGCAGCCCAGGCTGCCCATGGCCCCATCCAATGGCCTTGAACACCTCCAGGGATGGACGGGGCATCACAGCCTCTCTGAGCAGCTGTTCCAGCACCTCACCACCCCCTCTGTAAAGAATTTCCAGAGGATTTTTTTTCCCAAAGGATTTTTCTCTCAACTGCAGAGGAGCTGGGAAAAAAATCCTGCCAGCACAGACAAGCTGCTGCTAAAATAAGCAGCCCATATGTACCTAACCCAGTAGCACTTGTGGCTGCAGCTGAAAAATATATCCTTTGGCTACAAATCCCCAGTATATTCTAACACTCTTGCTGTGCTTATGCAGAGGTGAAACTGGAAGACCTGGTTTAGGGAGTAAAACGTGCTGATGTTTACTTTGTTGTTTAGTAGTTGGAACAGATGGAATGGAGCACAGACGCACAGGGTGTGCAGCCCAGGCACACTGCTGGCCCTCAGGGGTGCTGCTCTGACAAGTGGAGGAATGGGCTCTGTACCCAAGGGAGCACTTGGTCACTGTCCTCTTCTGGCACCATCATGCACGCACTTGATGCACACCCCTATGCCCCCCAGTCAGTCCAAAGCTGCTGTCAACTTGGCTTTTTTCTGGAGCATACAGGAACAAAAGGTGCACAGGCCGTGCCCTCCCAGGAGCTCAGAGCATGAAGCTCACAGTGCAATACTTCCAGTACTGACAAGGCAAGAAACAGAGCATGGAAAAACAAATTGTGTACCTTTCAGAGGCATTTTTAATCGTTTTAAATGATGTACCATATACATCCATCACAAGTGCCCTGTCTCCAGCAGTACAGTAGACCTGCTGTACATCACTAAGGCACTCAAGAGAGAAGTCATTCTTCATTAATGCACCAGGAGATTTCTGCTGTTAAGATCAGTACAATTCCTGCAGCACTCGAGCACACGATGTACCCTGTTGGCTTTACACACGAGCAGGCTGGATGCCACTGCCCAGCAATTTGGCAAGTTTGTCATCACCAACTCACTTCCAAAGGCACCATCTTCTGTTCCTGCCCCTAGCTGGGAAGAGAGACGTGTTTGCTCCCCCATTTAGAATATCTTCAAATTTCAGCACCAAAGGAACCGATGTGATCAGTTAATCCCACTGGAACAACTGCCTCCACAAGGACTGCACACCCTCTCCTTTTGAAGCCTGTGTTTTATGTGCTAACCCCACGCCGTGCAGTTTGTGCCAGCAGGGCTGCAGGCTCGGTGTATTGTGCGTTACCCAAGTCCTACTTCCCTTCAACTTTTCATCAAGAAATCAAAATGCTTTGAAACAGAGGAAATAAATTAAACAAATGTATCTTTGTTTATAAAAATATTTTGTTATAAATCTTTAAAGCTTAAAAAAGCCAGAAAATACATTTAAAAGAATCTCTGAAACATTAATTCGTCCTCTGAGGTGTGGTTACAGTCCAGAAAGTGAGAAGAAACAAAGCTCAAAGACAAGTTACATTTCTCTTCCCACGATGAACTCTGTAGTACAATGTGCTTAACCTCCAAGTCAAAACACCTTCCACGTCCTTCCCCTGGTCCACTGCCTGCACCACAACATTGGTTTGAAAATTAAGAACTGGAACTCAGCTAACCAAGCTGCTGTTCAGCTTTTCCATACTTACTATATGGAAAATTCAGGTGTTGATTCTATCAGAAGCCATGACTCTGAAGCTAGAGCATGGGGATCTCTATGCAGTACATAAGTGCCATTTTCTCATCCTCACATTCTGAACTTGAATTTTCACACTGGGAAGGCAAGTGGTATCACATTCACACATACCACTGTTCCAGCAAGTTGGCATGTAAAAATACCTATATTCCTGTTTATTGATTATGGGATACATCTCTGTAATAAAACTAAAACGACCTCGAGTCCATCCAGTATTCAAACCACATCAGTTGGTCCTCTTGCACTTCCACGAAGACTGTCCTTCATCCTGCAGCTTTTTGAACTTTGGCCCAAGCAGGAACCACCAGCCAAACCCCAGAATGACACAGATGACAGATTCCACGTAGTAACCATCCAGGGTGGTGACACAGGAACCACCAGCTTTTGTGCAGAGCTGGAAGGCAGAAGCAAAGGTAGAGGCATGAAGTATTGCCTGGGAGATACTGAAACACAAGACTTGTTAGCAGCAGGCATTGGATATTACAGTTTAATTGCTGTTTCAAGATTCTAACTAAATAAATCTTGCTCTTTTTCTTACAGAAATGATGTGACGCTTTTTGAGCTCACAGTTGGTGTGAGAAACAACAAAGCTTTGTTATAAAACATGTGGGAGATGGAGATATTTGGCCAAAGGAGTAAATGCTACTAAAGAGGTGCAATGATTATTCTTAATTTTGTGAGGGGGGAGAAAAATTCTATCCAAATTGCTTTTTCAGAAATTACAGCCCTGCATGTCACACAGGGAACCCACAAACAGACAGCACAAAGCGAGCAGCCTGCAGTTATGTCTGAGGAAAACATGCCAGGGATGCTTTTTAATTGCAGAACTGAAAGATAAAAACACATTGAGGGGGAAGGTGTTTGGTACACGACTGTTTCTGCTATTGTTTATCTCTCAGTGCTGCTATGATCCCAAGATAAAGCAATCCCATAAACAGAGGTTTCTGCCAGCATGTGTGTGATTCCGAGATGTGTCAGAATCAGATTAGGAGGAAGAAGGGAGGTGTGGTGGGGGAACACTGCCAGGTGGAAGGATGCAGAAAAACACTGGAGGGGTGAGCTGAAAGAGCAGGGCCTTGAGCAACAGATGCCAGGGCACAGGGGACCAAGTCAGCAGCAAGCTGAGACGCGTGCTGAAAAGGCACTGCAGGAGCAGCTTCTCCTCTGCAACCACTCAGAACTGCAGCTCCACTGGTAGAAGTCAAATGTGACTTGTCTGAACACTGTGTGTGCTTAGAGGACCTCACATCCCAGAGTCCTGTAAACACAGGAAGGTATTCAAGACTAAAATCTCGATTACAAGTAAGGAAAAAAACCATGCAATACAACCCCCCCAGCACTTCACTCCTCCAGACAGTTGCATTAAAATTTGTCATTTGCCCACAAGGAGGCGAATGCAAAACCCAGCTTCCCAGCCAGCTGTGCATGCAGTTGTTTGATCCATGCACAGCAGCACAGCATGATCTCTGTCCTCTTCCACAGGGCTCCCCAGGACTGGGAAGGCAGCCAGTCACACTGCTCAGCTCCACGTGGAAAGCAGAGATCAAAGACAGCAAAGTAACATCACGGTAGAAGGATGAAGTATGAAGCCAGGAAGCCTCCAGACAGACAGAACTAAAACCTGCCACAAAGCTGTGGTGACGTGGAGACAGACAGCCTGCCAAGCACAGAGTGCATACTTACACAGCTCCAGGCTGAGCAAAGTTTACTCAGCAGCTACAGCCTCCACATACTGGAGAGGATGCAGCACTGATCTGCTGCTTCCACCATCAGCTTTTTTCTCCAGTTAAGACAGAAAGGAACAACTACTCTGCAAGTGGAAATTTTTGGTGAAGATTTTAACTCCGAAGAGTGCACAGATGAAAACAGACTGAATTTACCGGACATGAAAATCAGTTCTCAGAGAGAGAATTTTTAAGTGTAAACTATGCACTGCACAGGCTTTCCAAGGTGAGCAAAACATACTTAGAGAAGCCATTTTCCCAAGAAATAGTTGAACAGAGACCTTCACAGCCTGCAAACTTACCTCTGCCTCAAGTGCACTTCCACAGGCCTGTTGCTGGGCTCCTGTGCACTCTTTAACCGTGAGCGGATCAACGAGCCACAGCGCGACGGTGGACGGCCAGTTCCCTCCCAGGTTGGACACAGTATTGAGCAGCGTCATGTAGGTCCCTCCGATCAGCGGGTCGCTGACTCTGGCATTGAAAGCCATGACTGCAACATACATGCTATACAGCGAGATCTACAGGATGGAAACCCACGGGACAGTAAGGTCTCCCCAGTTACAGGCAGTGAGAACAAAAGCCCTAACATAAACACTGTTCTGAGTGATTACTTGAAGTTAGCAACGTTGAGGCAAAAATAATCCCAACAGGTTTAAAGTTGTACGACAGAAATTAGTCCTGCAGTTTCCCTACTAACATCAAGTTGCTGTGATGCTCTCATCGAGTCACAGAAATGGATCCAGCCTCACAGGCAGTCGAGTTACTCAGGTAATCCAACTGAAGTTATCACAAGGCCAAATAAAATACCATATAAAAATAACGCTTTTGCTTGCTCTGATCCAAAGACCAGTTTGCACCAGGCCCACGGATTGGATCCATTCTGCTGTTTCTGCAGATCAATAGAGCAGTCACAAAGCTTTATGGAGCTGCACAACAGGCACGATCACCACCGTGCTTACAAAGCTCAGTCAGAATGCTGGTATTTCTAATGGTACCAAGCTTCTGAG